GAAGTTCACTACAGCAGGTGTGTAATCGTTAACGTGGAAAAGTGTTAGAAGTGACATATCGCTAAGACAGAAACCAGACTGCAGACCCCTGTGGCGCCACTGAAGGTTGTGTGTGGTGTGTTCTGTGCACAGCGTGTGAAAGGCCATACGCCTAAAATGTTGATAGTAGTTGTAGCTGAGGTAAGAGATTGTAGGTGAATCGGTCTCTTATTTGATTTTTATTTCTCTATAAGCTTTACCTGGCTAATTAAATTAAAAAGTTAAAAAGGTAATTGCTCTCCTTGACCTACAAAAGAGAGGCTACCAACTTATTTTGTCTTCAGACCTCTCTATGCTGTGGCCACATCCGGACGGGAGTCCAGAGAAACAGTAGGGCTCCATAAGGTGTCGTGGCTCATTTATTCCGATTGAAGGTAATGGCATTAGTAAAGTTAGAGCAAATACCTTGGCCTCTACGCTTGTGAAACCAGCCATATAAAATTAATAATTATATTCACGCCAAAGGCGGATGGGGATTACGCACTTAGTCACTGCTTCAGCACGTCAGCTGGCAGATAGACTTCCCTTTATCTGTGAAAGCATCTCAGAAAGACAGTGGGGACCTCGTGATCTCCCCGCCACACAGACTTCCTGGGAGGCGTCCTGCGTGTCTGGGCTCAGAGGGCAGAGGTTCTTCCCTGGCTCCATCTGCGGTTCCTGGGCTGGAGTTCCCTCGCTTGTGGTCCAGGTCCAGCGCTGGGAGTCGCTCACCTGCAGGTCAGGAGAAGCCGCCCGCGGTGTTGTGTAACAGGCGGCCCCAGCAATTGCAACGGAGACACAGTTCCTGCTTAGAAAGGGGAACGCAGTCCACCCCTGAGGCAATGACAGGTCATGGGGAGAACTGGAAAACACATTCAGGATGGGGCTGGCCCTTGGTTCTGGGAAGAGAAGGGCCAGGTGAGCACGCTGTTCACTGGGACTCACGGCTGGAGGTTTAGGTCATCAGAGGAGACCCACGTTTCTTATCATGGATGTTTGTTATGTAATGATGCTTCGTTTGGTTTAGAAAACCTAAAAAAGGATGGTTGACTAAGCCTGAATTTTCATTTGTACACATTTTCAGTGTTTCTTGATGGTCGTGAGGCACCTTAAGGATCCTCTCTGTTTTGGATTTTCTTTGTAAAATGTGGATTCAGTTACTTAGAAGTGGTACCTACCTTTCTCATGTCTCCAGGGAGCTCCCTGAGAACCGGCTCCCAGGGTGTGAACCGGAGGGGCTGCCCCTGTGCCGACGTGCACGGCTCCACGGTCCTTGGAACCAGAAACGGAGAGACAGCAGGTTGAAATCACGTGGAGCGTTTCTCCTGCGGCCGCTGCAAACCTCCGACGACGCCGTCACTCGTGCAGACATAGGCACTTTGACTTGATTGGCAAAGTCATAGTGAATTTGTTGGTGTCGCGAGCCAGGGAGCCGAGTACATGCGGCCTGAGCTGCCACTGGCCCTGCCTCTTGCTTGTTTGTCTTAATCCCCCCACTTGCCCTTTTCTTCAAATTCCTCATTTAACAGTCTTACGTCAGCAACATTTCAGCCTTAGCTTTTCCCCTCGGCTGACCTCCAGGTGGGATGGGTCACTCGCTTCCCCAGAGCTCTGAGGTGGCAGATAACCGGTGAGAAGGGCTCAGCGTGCCTGCTGTTGGACGTGTGTTGGCACGTGCTGGTGTGGGTGTGAATGGCAGGATTTAGCCGTGTGTGTGTGTGTGTGTGTGCGCGCGTTCCTCTGTAAAAAGCACAGAAGGACACCATGTCCTCTGGCCAATTAGTAATGCATTGTCATTTGTGTTTGAGATTAAACTTGTAAATCTGTGGACTTCTGTAAAGATGGAAATGAATCGGAAGAGAAAGCTGCCTGGGAACTTCAGCCCCGTTGTGTGTTGTTACTCCGCCGTAAAGGAAACCCGGCGTGCGCGCTGTGACGTGTACATGGCAGAGCAGAAGGTGACACCCGTCTTGGGCTGCCCATCATCGGGGCGTGATGATTAGTATACTTTTATGCAGCTTTTTGAACTGAAGCACCGTCAGTTACAATGTGTCAGTTTGGTGTGCAGCACAGCGTCCCAGGCATGCATGTACACACACAGAGTCGTTTTCATATTCTTTTTCATTAAAGGTTTTTACCAGATATTGGATGTAGTTCCCTGTGCCATGCAGAAGAAGCCCGTATATTCTAATTGTATGTCCTGGCACAGCCAGACCTCGGCTGTCCACAGTGTGTCACCAAGCTCCACATCTAGTCCACGTGGCATAAACCCCCTGCAGCCCCTACAAAGGAGGCGTGGCTCTCTGGTGTCCAGGCTGTGACGTGTGTCCACCCCCCCCCCCGACATGGTGGGTCTTGGAGGGTCAATAACATGTTAATTATGAATGAACTGGGCTAATTTTAGGAGGCAGCTACCGTATTCTCCCTATTTTGGGATCATCACCATCAGAAAAATTTTCTCTTCACATGTGGAAATAACTTTATTGTTTATGCTGATTAGTAAAGAAGTAAGTGATAATGGCTAAATCATTAGGTGGAAAAGATTGGTTATAAACCCACCCCACCGTGCACAGCTCTGAATATATCACATCTTTCTAAACATTTCTGCGTAAATTTAATTTTAATACAAACTTATTCTCTTACTTAATATTTTTTCTCCACTTTCTAAACCAACGCCTAATACCCCATTTTGTGACTAAACAATAATGTATTTCCTAACCCCCATCAATGAACATTTATGAAATCAGTTATTTCTCACTCTTCTAAAGCATCCTGAACAAAAGTGCTTTTTCTTCCCCACCTGCTGAAAAAGTCTTGCCAATACAAGGTGTTATTAACACTTTTCTCCCAATTTTATGGTTCTTGGATTAATATTGAGATTGAACATTTTTCAGATGTATGCTTCATATTTGTAGGCCTTCTTTGATACTTCCTGTTCAAATCTTTGGTCAACTAAAGTTGGGACACTTCTTGTGGATATGTAAGAACTCTCTATTGGAGATGTGAGGAGAGGGTGTCAAATGTCATGTCACAGAGGAGAAATCCGGGTCCACCTAATGCAAGGGACGGATCTCGGGAACCTCTGAGGTCATGGGCGATGACAGATTGCCCAGCACGAAAACCCTGAGAGCTTCAGAGGCAGCTCATGGCAGTGGGCATATTGTCTTTAATTGGGAGTTACCTACTTTGGAAAGAGGCTCATCGAAATGAAAGAAGGTAAAGAGGGACATGAGGGCCGAGGCCAGTGGGATGTCTCCCGGGGACCGTCCCCTCCCTGAAGCCTCCGCTCTTAGGCAGAGGCGCGAGTCAAACACTCCTTCCGAACACACGCCCACGGCTCGCGGGGTCCCCAGCATCCCACACAGATGTTTCTACAATTTTATGTCACAGAAACTGCAATATTACTCACAACCAGACCGTCCGTGGCGACAGGAAAGTAAGGAAACACTTTAATCTTTGAGAAATAGGAAACCTTGGGGCATGTTTACATAATTGTTCACACATAATTGTCAAACACCTTTGTTTTGAATTAAGTGAAATGAGTGAAATGAGTGCTAATTGTTGGCGTATCCGTGGTGTGCTGATTATTCGCATGTGCCTGGGATCATGTAATTACAGGAAGCAAAGCCAACCCTCCCTCCTCGCCAACACAGTGAGTTGGGAACAGTTGTGGTTTAGTCCCTCCCACCTTAATTCTAGGCATCCCCGTCTCGGGTACCTGTGAGTCCCAGCAGTCCCACCCTGCTCATCTTCCGTGCCTGCCCTGAGGCGCAGCGCGGCTCCAGGTAGGCCTGCTGATGAAGGGAGTCAGAGGATGAGGGGCGAGCGAGCCGTCTGCAGTGACCCAGCAGAGTTCCTGGCAGCCGCTGTGGAACCGCACGAACAGCACTTACCTCTCAGGGCAAGAGAACACTGAGGACCAAGCAAACCACCTTCTCTCCGGACGTAAGACCCGACCGAGCGCACTGCATACCTGTGTGTGGCTCCCGGAACCAGCCTTGGTACCAGAAGGCATCCTCCTGCTTCGAAAAGGTGAGATTGCCCCCCGGATTTACGCGGAAGAAAATCGGGGTAGGAAGAGAAGGGAGACCTCGAGGGGCACTTGTGAGCTTTCTTTTTGGAAATACAGATTTTTATTTTAAGGTATTTTAAAAATTTGATATGTTTTGTAGTAACTCCATGATAATTTGAGAGTATAAATAAATAGGCTGGAGTAAAATGCTTTCTGATGGGAAGAAAACATGTCAGAATAATTTCCAGCATTTTTTTGAGGGGTGGGGAGGAATAAAAGCAACAATTTAGAAGAAAGGTGTGGCTTTTGCAGGCAGCCCCGACCTAAAAGCTCCTCATGGAAACATTCACTAACCTCAGTGTTAGGCTAGACCAGAGACTGTCCCGCACACGTAAAACCCCACCTGGGCACAAGCTGAATGGGAACAAAATCCAAACAAATTTCCAGAGACTGTTTCAGTATCAAACAAGAGTTTTCGGTTGGGTTGAACCATGTGGGGTTGCTGCCAGGCTGTTCAGTTTAGAAGAGGTTGAACATTGACAGCTTCATGTAATTCGACCACCGGGGAACCAAGCGGGGTTTAAATGGTCAGATAAATCAGTATGCAGTGCACGGGGGGAATTACAGATTTGTTTAAGGAAACAAAGGAAAAGGGGGAGAGTCAAATAAATTCATTAAGATGCCAAAGAACAGTTCGGAAAACCGAGGCAGAAACTGCAGTGGGCCCGGAGAAGCTTCCACACACACGCGCTGCCATTGCTGTCGCTGGGGAGCGTGATGTCAGCAGACCCCTAGTCAGGCCTGGCCCGCTGGGCCGCGCAGGCCTGGGGTTTAACAAGCGGGGACGGAAACTGCACAGGTCACTTTCCCGGGATGGGAGGAGACAGGGCTCCCGGCTGTCATGTGAGTGAGAACCTGATCTGCTCGTGTTCCGGAACATTTCTAACTTAATTTGGTTTATTTGGGAAAAAACACACCTTTTTTTGTTTTCTTGCTACTACAAGAGTGACACATACTTATTATGGAATATTTGGAAACTACTGACAAGAAACGAAGGAGAAAAGGGAGCAGTTCCAGAATCCCCACCCCAGAGCGTCGCGGCAGGCCACACTCTCGGTCTGGGTTCTATCACCCTCCCTGGGGCTGCGGGCCATGTTGAAACGCTGGCTGATGGCCCGGCCTCCCCGCCGGTCCTCTGTGGAGGCTCTCCTGTGCCTGTCGCCCCCACCGTAGGTGTAGTTTTGCGACTGCTGGTCTGTCCTGTGTAGACAGTGTTTTACTTATTAATCCGCACACGGACTCCTGTCACCCCAGGACTTGCTGTGCAGGTCACGAAGTGACGGGCCTCTGGCCTCCCTGCCCACCCCTGGCTCCTCTGCAGGTGCTCCCCCACATTCTCCTCCTGCAGAAGAGGAGGAGTGTTTTTCCTGCCGGCCCCCACCTGCTCCATCACCCCAGCTCTGGTGGGGGGCCCAGCACGGCTTCTCCCCACACTGGCCCCATCTCTTGGCTCACCCCTCAGAGCTGGGCCAGGGGCCAGTGGCCAGCATGGCAGCCCTGCTCCTGGACGGCCCCCTGAGCCCGGTCCTCCCGGCCTCGGGGCATCTCAGCGTCTCCTGCTGGCTGTCCTTGGCCAGTGGTGACTTACGTCCTGTCTCTGTTAACTGCTGGGTGTGCACTCCGTCAGACCCTTGCTGCCGTGTGTCCAGGGGCAGATGTGCGTCTGTTCAGCTCCCCGTGTGTGTCCCTGGGATAAAAACATGAAGAGACTTGCTGATGGTATTGAGAAAGCTGCCGCTCAGGCAGTCTGTGCTGAACTCCGCTCCCACCAGCAATGTGGAGACCTGGCTGCGATCGGACCATCTTGCTAAACTGAATGGTCTTTTCAAAAAGGTCATTAATTGGAAAATTATAACTTCATGAAATCAACCAAATGTAAATATTAAAGAATTAATTATATAGCCCTGAAAAAGCCAGGAATGAAAGGAAGTGAAACTCTGTGCCTAGTGTCTTAACTTTTAGACTGTGTTTTTCTCTGAACTTGTTACACGCTTACCAGACACCAAATGCTGTATTTCGTAAGCATTAGCCCGCTTGCTGCCACGAGTCACCTGTGGAGGTGCGCCAGTCCTCCCGCAGCACGACAGAGACACTGCCGGTCGGTAACCAACTCCGGGTCTGTGTTAGTCCCAAAGCAACGCCAGGTGTGTCTGACCTCAGAGTCAGTGCAGGGGGGCGGAGGTCAGGTCACCACACAGTGAGTTCTGGACAACAAATCCAAAAATGACAATTGGCTTTTGAGGGTCTGCCCTATGCCAGTCATCAGACCAGCACTTTTAATACGTTATCTCACAAACAGAGGTGAAACTACAGAAGAAAGCAGAATAGAAATTGTGAGTCGGGTGGAGGGCACACGATCCACACGTGCAGAACACGGTTATTGGCTTTGCAGAAGCCAAACGGGGTTTATCAGTGGGGACTGAATTCAGGAGAAGAATCTTCACAGGAGAACGCTCTGGGCGACCTTGTGAGCCCACCTGGGATGGGCCTGAGATGAGAAAGCGGCCGGCCTGGGAAGGAGAGGTGCTTTGTGTGGGAGAAACCACGTATTGTTGACGATGACCCTGGAAAAACGGCACCAGAACAGCTTCCTCAGGCAGAACTCCCTTCTAGAGTTCTCTCGAAACAGACCGCATTGTCACCCTTCGCGGGGTGTGGGCGTCAGGTGTGCGTCCACCGGAAAGGCTGGGATTGAACAAAGGCTTTTAAAAGTGTTCTTTATTATGGCTTAGTTCCTAAAAGTAGAGACAGCAGTGAACAGCTGGAGCCTCGACTGCCGGGCAATGTGTGCAGATATAAACACCAACGCGGGGCAAGGGCGGTGCGGGCTCTGAGCAGGTGGCCAGCCGCGCCCCTCGCCCCGCCCCCAGACACGCCCCGTCCATCGCCCCGCCCCCAGCCAGGCCCCCTCGCCCCGCCCCCAGCCAGGCCCCTCCGCTGGGCTCCAGACCCAGAGCCTCATAGGGAGGAGGAAACATCCATGCAAAATCTCGGGCCGGAGGAGAGCTCTGAGTGTGGGCCCGAGCGCCCTGCGAGCTGGG